GCTCCCCTTTCACAGTGTTGTGCTGTTACTGAGAAGTGGTTGCCCAGTCAGGGATGCCAGTTCCATCTTCTTTACAGCTAGGTGGGATCGTGGGATCCAGTTCTGGCTGATCGAATATAAGCAGAAGAGATCTTTATCACTTCTGGGCTTGATCGTGAAAACTTCTTGCACGACTTTCTGTACTCTTCCTTATTCTGTCTGTCATCTGGATGTCGTTCACAGGGCAATCTTGGAAGCCACATGTTGAAATGGAGCATCCTTGGAAGCCCGGATGTCTGCATGGTGGAATGGAGCTATGAAGGTGAACTCCCCACTCCCACCCCAACAAATCACCACCACTGCTGACAGCTGGGCTTTGTGTAAGAAGTCAACTCTTACCGTGTTAACCCACTGAGATTTTGGCGCTTTATCTTTTAAGGCAGCTAGGGCCAACCTAACCAATTCCGAACCTGACAACAGTTGAAACAAATGTGTTGCCCTTGCAAAAATTGTCCTTATTATTACAAGATTCCTTGGAAAGGAGAAAGTGTGAAGTCACTCCAGAGAGAAATGTCAGAGGCCACATGAGGAAGAGCATGGACTATGGAAAGCAGGCCGCCTAGTTTGAATGCCAGTTCTGACATGCACTAGTTATCTAACCTTGGGCAAGTTACTCAACCTCTCTGTGCTTCAATTTCTGTATAAAAAAGGGATGACAGTAGCATCTACCTTAGGGGCTACTATAAATTAATATTTGGAAAGCACTTAACACAGTGCCTGGTACACGGTTTGCAATAAATTTACAAATCCTTAGTTTTCCAAAGACCATCCTCACCTTGAAATCTTTAAATTGTTTTCTACAATCTAATCATCTAACCTTCTGCTCTGCTATTTGTGAGAGCCTGTGCCAAAGCAAAGAGATGACTTTAGCCCTTCGGATGTCTTTTCTTTGCAATATGACTTTGTCCCTGTACATAGGAATTTTTCAGAGTTTGCTCCACTCGGGTTCAGGGAGCATTTGGCTCCTACTGGATTTGGGCTATGTTAGCTTTAGGTGGATCATTAATCTTAGAAGAAATGGTCACCTTTGGACCCTATTTGGTTTTTGTCCACAGGCCTGTAGAGGATTGCTCAACTTTTGAGGTATTTATGTGCACTTATTGATGATCTATTTGATAATTTTTTGAGCCCAATATTAAAGCAGGCACTATTTTCCAACCTAGGATTCGAATGTTGAATGAGAAAAAGGTGGTCTCTGCCCTCATAGACCCTATTTCCTTTGACAGGTATGAATAAATGAACGAAGAGCCAGGACAATTATAAACGGGCCACTTCCAGCTCTGCCTGAGCAGAGGGCCATTCCTGCGTTACAGAGACACCAGCAGAGTTGAAGGCAGTCTCAAGGCTGGAAAAACAGAAGTGGAGGCAAGATCCCAATGAAAAGGGAGGTACAGAGAACTGAGCTTGGCAAAGGGCCTGTTTTCTCCTTAAGGTACTTGCACAATTTGAAGTTTCACGGAATGGGAGATAAAAAGGTAACGCCACCCCTTAGAAAGGCTCCAATAAATATATTAGGTGTTATTAGTTTCCTGTTACTGTCGTACCAAATTACCACAAACTTACTATCTTACAGTTTTGAAGGTCAGAAGTCTGAAATGGGTTTCCCTGGGCCACAATCAAGATGTCAGCAGTGTTGTGTTTCTTTCTGGAGGCTGCACAGGAGAATCTGTTTTCTTGCCTTTTCCAGCTGTAGAGCTGCCATTTCTTGGCTTGTGGCCCCACCCTCTTCAACCTTCAAAGCCAGCCATGGCAGTCTTCTTCACACTGCATTGCTCAGATGACACGAAGTATTCTGCCTCTTTCCTTCACATTTAAAGGACCTTATCCTTTAAATATTGGCCCATCTGGATGATCAAGCAATGCATTTCTAAATAAAGCATGAGTTGAATAAGAAATTACCCCTAAATCTAGTAAAATTAAAAAAAAAAGAATTCATAATGAAAATCAGAGTATATTTTAAGTTGAATAACCATTAAGTTATAACATATCAAGAAAAAAAATGCAGCCTAGGCAATACATTGTCTCTACAAAAAATTTAAAAAATAGCCAGGCTTGGTGGTGCATGCCTATAGACCCAGCTACTTGGGATGCTGAAGCAGGAGGATCACTTGAGCCCAGGAGTGGGTGGCTGCAGTGAACTATGATCACACCACTGCACTCCAGCCTGGGCAATAGAGGTAGACCTCATCTCTTGGGAAAAAAAGAAAGAAGGAAGGAAGGAAGGAAAGAAGGAAGGAAGGAAGAAAAGATACAGGAAAATGTATCACTTTCATTACATGTACTAGAGTGGAAGAGAGGCTGAAAAAAATCAATGATATCAACTGCCTTTTTAAAAAGCTAGAGAAAGAACAAAACTCAAAGAAGTTAAGAGAGCAGAAATCAATGAAATAATAAATGAATATACAGTAGAGAAAATCAACAAAGCCAAAAGTCTGTACTTTGAGAAGATTAATAAGATAGATAAAACCCTGGCAATATTAATCAAGGAAAAGGAGAAAACATACATTACAAATATCAGCAATGAAAAAGGATATTACTGTAAGGATGCTCCACTCTTTAAAAATATCAAAAGACCAGCCTGAGCAACATAGCAAGGGCCTATCTCTACAAAAAAAAAGAATTAGTCAGGTGTGGTTGTATGAGCCTGTAGTCTCAGCTACTTTCGAGGCTGAGGCAGGAGGATCAATTGAGCCCAGGAATTGGAGGTTACAGTGAGCGTGATGATGCCCAGGAAACAAAGCGAGACTCTATCTTAAAAAAAAAAAAATCCAAAGATAACATGATGAACAATTTTACATAAATAAATTTGAATTTATATAAAGGGGATGAATTTCTTTTAAAAAAAAAAAAAACAGAACTTACCAAACTTGAAGAATAAGAAAATCTGAATATTTCTCTGGCTATTTAAGAAACTTAATCTGTCATTAAGATTGAGCCACAGAGGTGGCTTCACTGGTGAAATCTTCCGAACATTTAAGAAAGAAATAAAACTATTTTTATACAATGTCTTTCAGCAAATAAGAAAAGAGATGACATTTCCCAGTTCATTTTATAAGGCATCATAACCTTGGAACCAAACTTTTAGGGACATTAAAATAAAAAACTGCAAAATGATTTCTGTCAAGAAAATTAATGCAGAAAATCCTAAACAAAATATTTTCAATTCAAGTTCTGCAATATATAAAAAGTATTATGCATAATGGCCAACTGGGGTTTATTCCAGGAGTGTAATAGTAGTTTAACATTTAAAAATCACTTAGAATAGTTCACCACATTAACACTAAAAGGAAGGGGAGATCGTATGATTATCTTAATAGGCACATAAGAAATACTCGATAAAATTCAACACCGATTCATGATTTTTAAATTTAGGCAATCCAGGAAGGAAGGAAAATTTCTTAAGATCATTCGTTAATAATATCTAAAGCAAAACAAAGCACCAGAAAACATTTTGCGTAGTGGCGAATTATTGAAAACTTTCCCTCTCTATCACCACTTCTACTCAATGTTGTGTTAATAGTTTAAAAATTAAAGCTGAACATACATCTACTTTATGACGCAGCAGTACTCTCCTGGGGAAATACCTTTCAGAAATGCATACCTGTATGCTCTAAAGGATGTGTATTAGAATGTACCAGAAGTTCTAATCAGTGCAGTAAATCAGGAAAAAAGAGAATTGTAAGGATCTGAAAAGAAAGAGCAAAACTGACATTGTTCACAAAAGACATAAAGATGTACACAGAAATTTCAAAAGAAACTATTATAAGTAATAAGATAATTTAGCAAGATCACCGTATTCGAGGTCAATGTACAAAAACCAATTGTTTTTTCAGATACCAGCAACAAATAGAAATGAAATTAAAATTACATTCACAGCAGCACTATTCATAAGAGCCCAGATGAAAACTATTAGTACAATCATAGGGAGGAAAGACACAGTGTGCTACAACACACAGTGTGGAATGTGCGACACTGACACTGAATGAAAGGCAACATAGATGGATCTCACAATATAATCTGGGGTGAAAGAAGACAGAAACAAAATTGTGCATATCGTGTGATTCCGTCTCTATAAAGTTCACAAATCAGCAGAATTAGCCTATGGATTAGAAGTCAAGATCCCGGATACGTTTGTCAGGGAACGGGAAGGAGCGGGGGAGGGCTCTGTGAACCTTCCGTTTCTTGATGTGAGTGCTGGTTATGCGGGTGTGTTCACTCGGTGATAATTAATCAAGCAGTACACTGAGGATATGTAAAGTTTTATGTATATTTTTATACTTTAATAAAAAGTTCTCAAAATTTTCTTTATATTCAGAAGACTTTCCCCAGGCAGAAGTCAGAGCCTTGTAGGTCGGGCTGCAGCGAGCAAGAGAAGCAGCCGTCTCTGGGCCCAGCTTCCCCCGCCCTCGCCTCCCAGAGTGGAGGATTGTAGGGACAGTGTCATTCGGGGACCTTCCGGGAGGATCCCGCAGTGGCCAACAGAAACGCTTTAGGAGCAAGAGTTTAGGAATCCCTGAAAATTGAGTTCAAAACGTTGTGTGTAGGTGTGTGCGTGCTTTCCTGGAGGAAGGGTCCACAGCCTTCACCCTGCGGACGGTCCCCCAAGTGCCGCGGAGTCTGTGTTTTTGAGACGTTTGGGAGCTGCTTGGTTAGATGAGAGTCCAGGGCTCAGGAACCTGGGTACTAGCAACTACTCTGGGACCCCAGCGGATCGCTCTCCGGGGCGTCAGGCGGTCAGACCAGCACGCTACGAGGTTGCTCAGGCTCGTATGTCCGGGGTGCGGCCCCCTGGCCCGTGAGCGAAGGTCCCCCGGCGCAGGGCAATCCGCGGACAGTGGGTAGCAGCCTGCTGCCCTCCAGCCCGGCAGAGAGCGCTGGCTGCTTGCGGGCTGCCCGGGGGCGTGGTGGGGGTGTGACCAGGGCGATCATCCTGGGCGGACGAACTCTTCCCAGGATCCACGCGCTCCAGCGCAGATGAAGCTGGCAGAGGTGTGGGAGCAGGGCCGGTGACGGCGCGCCCGCTGCGGAGAATGAGGCTCGCCATCTGCGCCCTGCTGTGCGCCGGGGCCCTGGGTGAGTGCACGCTGGGAGCCGGGGTGGGGGCCGGCCCTCCAGGGTGCTCGGGGAGGGGACCCAGCGCCAGCAGCCGCTCAGCCACAGAGGGACCCTGCGCGGCATACGGACCACCAGTGGGCCTAAGGGCCCTGAGGCGGCCCTTAAAGTGCCTTCTACCCGTAGGTGCACCTGACACTTTGATCCTGCAGAAAACACATAGAGGAGAGGGGTTTGCAAATTACGACCAGCCGGCCAAATCTGGCCTGCTGCCTGATATTGCACAGCTAGAAGAGCTAAGAACGCTTTTTACATCTTTAAATAGTTGAGGGGAAAATCAAAAGAACACTATTTTGTGACACGAAAACTGTATGAAATTAAAATTTGTGCTCTTAAATAAAATTTTATTAGGACACAATCATGCTCATTCAGTTAAATATTGCCTATGGCTGCTTTCAGGCTTGTTGAGGTCAAATAAAATATAGAGAGAAATCTGCAAATTAAAAACATTTTATTTGGGAAGCAAGCATTATAATTCCGGGCATACATACAGACCGGGTAGTCTCTGGTATGTCCAAAGAACAAAGAGAAGATTGGAGGTTTTATTTAAAAAAACAGAAGAAGAAATGTTATGTATTGTTCTTCAAGAACATTCATTGGCACTGGGAAGTTTCCGAGGATCTGGCAAACTATTCTGATTGGTGAGTGACGGGGCGGTGCGGTGTGGAGGGATCAGCCTTGGAATCATAGGTTTCAGTAGCTGTTACAGCAGGCAGCTTCAGCAGCCAGGCTTGCAGAGAACTACCATTCTTGGAGCAGTGTCATGTGCCCTGGGTGCTTTCTCCCTCTGGGCTCTCGACTCTGTTTTAGTTGGGTATGACAAAAATGACCCAATTCATATGATCAATTTTCACAAGCTTCAAGGGCAGAATTGACTAGTTGCCACAGAGACTGTGTGGCACACAAAACCTAAATTATTAACTCTTTAGCCCTGCCGTCCTCAAACCCCGGGCCACAGCCCCATACCAGTCTGTAGCCTGTTAGGAAACTGGCCACACATCACCGCCTGAGCTCTACACCCTTCCCCCTACCCTACCCCCTTGGTCCGTGAAAAAATGGTCTTCCATGAAATCCTGGTGCCAAAAATGTTGGGGACCGCTGCTTAGACCATCACAGCATAAGTTCATGGCCCCTGGCCTAGAGGCTTTTGATCTCATTTACGGTGAAGGAAACAGGGTCAGAGGAGAGAAGGGCTTCTTCCTAGGGCTAAGGGGTTATTAGGAAGGGAGGGAGGGGATGCCTGCCATATAACCAGAGGGGTCTTTCTTGCCCTGAACTGTACAGCACCTCCCACCTCTACCATACAACAGGGAGGTTGATGATATAGAGGAATAATAATTACCCTAGAATGGGATCCACCTGTCACTCACTGCTGTGTGACTCTGGGCTGTTCCTTGACCTCTCTGAATTGGCTTCAGTTAGTAGGAATTGCCTTTTCACAACACACACACAGTTACTGTGAAAATGAGCTAATAAACCTAGTGGCAGGCAGAGTTCCAGGCACAGAGGGGTTACTACTGGTAAAAATCCCACACATGCATGCAGAGGACCTCTTCCGGGGTTGGGAGGATAGGCTCCTCCAGGGTTCTTGGCTGGGTCACTGTGAAGAAGGTAATGGTGCACAGTTAATGAACTCACGCACATGAAGAGCCCTCCCTGGCTCAACAACTGTTGGTTCTGTCCAGCCCTGGTTCCGTCGTGTCTCAGGCTGTTGTAAATAATTTGGGGGTAGTGTGTCTTACATGGAGCAAGGAGCGGACAGAAAGGGAAGGGAGTGCTGTGGGGGCTCCTCCCTGGCCCAGCACTGCCACATGGGTCCGCACAGGGAGTTCTGCTGGGGCTGGGAAAGTCGGGAAAGGTAGGACACAGTTGTGATCCAGCTGTGGTCACAAAGAAACCCAGAGCGCAGACCCCCCCGCCCCGGGCTCTTTCCAAAATTCTTCCTGAACAGGGCTTGTGGTGTTTGTTCTTCCTCTGTCTCCTCTCGGGGCAATGTCAGGTGCTGACCAAAAGTCCATTTTCCCAATTGGCTCTGTGTTTGCAAACCAAAGGCAAGAGCTGCCCCTCTCAGCCTCCCTTCCCCACTTTCCCTCCCTCTTTGCTGCTGGGCCAGGCTGAACTCAGTATTCTAGTCTAATAAGAAGTCTTCTGGTGGCAAATGACAGAAACACAACAAAAGTAGCTTAAACCGAAAAGACCAAAAGGAAGGAGACAGTTATTGGTAAGCCCAGCAAGAGCCAGGAACGAAGGGCCCAACAGCCTGTGTCTCCACCTTGGCCCCCAACCTCATTTCTCAACCCTTTGCTCTTCTGGGGCTTGAGAACGTTCTCTGTTCAGTGAGCACCAGCAGCTTTCCCCTTCCAGGATAAGTTTGGAATATTCACAGTGGGCTCCGATGGCCTCTTGTTGAATCTGTCATAGGGCCATGGGTGGAGTGTTATTCATGACTGACCTAGTCTGGGTTACTTGGCTCCACCTACTCTTAGCTTGCTTGTACACACTCATTTTCTTTCTTTTTAAAATCCTTTCTATTGAAGTATGATTTATATATAATATAGTACAAGAAACCCATTTTAAGTATGCATACAGTTCCACGAATTTTGACAAATATAACTACCCATGTACCTACCACTGTAATCAAGATAAAGAACTGCCCCTGACCTCTTTTCAGCCATTCCCACTTTCTGCCACTGTAAGTAAGTTTTGCCTTTTCTAAGATTTCACATAAATGGACTCACACAGGACATAGACCTTTGTGTTTGCCTTTTTTCACTCAGCATAATTGTTTTGAGAGTCATCCAGGTCGTGTGTGTCATAGCTCATTCCTTTTTATTGCTGAGTATTCATTGTATGGCCCTACTATGGTTTGTTTGCCCGTTTGCTTGTTGATGGACATTTAAGTTGTCTCCAGTTTGGGGCTACCATGAATAAAACTGCCATGAACATTAGTGAACACGTCTGTTTTCATTTGTTTTGGGTAAATATCTAGAATTACCAGGTCATACTGGTAAGTGTATGTTCAACTTGATAACAAAATGCCAGACTTTTTTGAATAGTTGTACCATTTTACATGCCCACCAACAACATACTAGAATTTTAGTTGCTGCTCATACTGCCAACACGTGGTGGTGTCAGTCTTTTCGCCGTTAGCCATTCTAACAGGTATGGAGTAGAATCTCGCTATAGTTTTAATTTGCATTCCTCTGGTGACTAATGATGTTGAGCATCTTTTCATGTTTTTTTTTGGCTATTCATATATCTTCTTTTATGACATTTCTGTTTGAATCTTTTCCCTATTTTTTTTTGACATGAGCACAGTGATGACTGAAAATACAGATTTTCAAGAAAGGCCTTATGTTGATGTTCTGCAGAAGGACAAATGGTCTATACTATTCTGTTCCCCAGCTTACTCTTCCTACCCTGGTCTGCTACTATTGAAGACTTTCTCAAATAAATTTGAGGGCTCTATTTGTCCCTCCTTGTCTTTGGCATGGGGTTCTGTCTAAGGTAATTTGGCATCTCCTGTCCGATTTCTTTTGGCATTTCCTGCTTGCAGACAATTAGAAGGCAGTACAGGTTTTGAAGTGCAACAGACCCAAGTAGTTCAAATATTAGCTTCATCTCCAATTATTTAATGTCCCTGACCGTTTTTTAAATTTCACATCTAAAATAGGAGCACCAATATTTAAATGGCAGGACAATTGTGAACATGAAAGGAAGGTAATGTGCTTGGCACACTGTGAAGCATATAGGGACTCATCAAAGAATGGTAGCTGTTATTGCTGGAATTTTCATCTTCTGGATTTCATTTAAAATAATGTTTTGCCCAAATACTACAGATTTATAAACAGCATTTTGCCTTTGTAATGCTTTCTGCACTAATTACATAGCTCAAAATACCAGTGAAAGAAATAGGCACTGATTTTAATGCCCCAGCAATTAGTACAAAGTAAGGTTAGCGTAGCCAACGTTTAGATAAAGACCAAATCACTGAGCCCAAAGCTTCCTACTTATGGCTAGGAAGCTTTTCTGAGGTGAGATTCACATAACATAAATTAATCATTTTAAAGTGTACAATTTAACGGCATTTAGCACATTCACAAAGCTGTACAGCCACCGTCTCTATCTAGTTACAAAACATTTTCATCCCCCTAAAGGAAACCCTGTCCCTGTGAAGCAGTCAGTGTCCATTTCCTTCTCCCCAGCCCACGGCAACCACCAATTAATTTGCTTTCTGTTTCTATAGACCTACCTAGTCCAGGTATTTCATATAAATGGAATCATATGATGAGTGGCCTTTTGTGTCTGGCTTCTTTCACTTGACTTGATATTTTCAAAACTCATTCACTTGGTACTATGTAGCAGTACTTCACTCTTTTTATGGTGGAATAATATTCCGTTGTACAGATATACCATATTTTGTTGATCCATTCATCCGTTGATGCACATTTGGTTTTTTTCCACCTTTTAGCTATTGTGAATAGTGCTGCTATGAACATTCTTGTGCATGTATTTGCTTGAGTCCCTGTTTTGGATTATTTTGGATATATACCTGGAAGTGGAATTGCTGTGTTTTATGCTAATTGTATGTCTAATTTTGCAGGAATGCGTTCGGCTTTCTTATCCAAAGGGTAGGGCAGAATCAAGGAAATGGGCCCTAGAATTTATGTGAGCCAGGCAACCAATCCAGCTTGTGTGTATCCCACTCAGCTGACCCTTTATCTTGTCTTTAAACTCTTTGCCAGCAGAGGAAAATGAGTGCTGTGGGTCCCTTACATGTCTGGCGTCTCTCCACTAGGGCTGTGTCTGGCTGTCCCTGAGAAAACTGTAAGATGGTGCACCGTGTCAGATCATGAGGCCACTAAGTGCTCCAGTTTCCAAGACAATATGAAAAAAGTCTCCCCAGCAGATGGTCCGCTTATCACCTGTGTGAAGAGAACCTCTTACCTTGAGTGCATCCCGGCCATTGCAGTAAGTCACAGCTGCGTAAAAGAGAGAAGAAAGTCTATGTTTTCTTTTTTTTTTTCTGCACTTGCTGTTGTTTGTTAGTTTCTCCCCACAGGAACCAGACTATGCTTTAGAGAAGAAACAAAGCAAAGATCTAAAAGTACAGGAACTCTGTGTGGAGAAAAATACAGCTGCTCAACATTCATTGTCAGTAAAATTACAATCAGAATTAAACCAATAGAGAAGGATTCAATCTCAGTAAAATACCTGTGGTAAAGCAAAGTCAGCATTACATTGAAAGAGAATCGATAAAGACTCATAAATAAGCAAGAAGCTCCAGTGTCACTATTATTAATTAACATTGTTTTTGGAAGTTCCAGTATTGCAAAAAGACATAAAATCCATATAAGATAGAAAGGAACAAACAAAAATATCAATGTTTTCAGATGATTGCATGCCTAGAAAGTACAGTGCAATCAAGAGAAATGTTTCTATAATTATTTATTCGTGAATAAATTAGTTTGGTAAAATGTCAATATGTAACAATTAATGTCATTTTCATGTGCCAAGAGCTATTGAGTGTGGGAAAATGTCCCCAAATTATGATCTCATTTACATTTAAAATAATAAACAGGCCAGGCATGATGGCTCAAGCCTGTAAAACCTAAAACTTTGGGAGGCTGGGGCAGGAGGATTGCTTGAGGCTAAGAGTTCGAGACTAGCTTGAACGACACAGTGAGACCTCACCTCCTCCCAAAAAAAAATTAGCCAAGCATGATGGCATGTGCCTGTAGTCCAAGCTACTCAGGAGGCTGAGGTGGGAGGATCACTTGAGCCCAGGAGTTTGAGGCTGCAGTGAGCTATGATGATGCCACTATACTCTAGCCTGGGAAACAGAGTGAGACTCTGTCTCAAAAAAAAATAATAAATAAATAAATTCAGACATATTCTCTGTATGTCTCAGCTTTCTGTCTATCTATCCATCTATCTAATTATTTCCATGATATGATATAGACACAAAGTGTGATAAGTGTTCAACATTAGGGCCCTACGCTTAATAAATTTAGATAAGATACATGTAGATTTTTTTCTAAGTTAAATTAAATTTTTAATTGACAATTGTATATATTTATGGGGTGCAATGTGGCGTGAGATATATAGTACAAGGCAGACTTTCCAAAAAAATGGCTGAGAAAGGATTCTTTAGTTGGACACCTGGGCAACCATTTAGAAAAAGAAAAATCAAGCAAGATTCTTAATCCATCCACTAAAATAAATTTCCAATTTTATTCACCTTGATTAAAAGAGAAAGACATAATTAGATATACTACAGAAGTAGACAAATTTGGAAATTTAAAAAATTTTAAACTATGAGAAAAATATTTTTTAAAAGCCCTAAGCATACAAAAAAAATTATCAGCTATAACAGCACACTGCAAAAACTGTATAAAGATGTCATTTAAACTTACAAGAAATGCTTAAGAATAAAAAGCTATAAACAAACCACTCACAGAAAAGAAATTACAACTAGTAAATAATATGAAAAATAAAGGAAAAATGTTCATCTTTTTAATAAACAAAGATGCAATTAAGATACTTCTTCAAGTAATGGTTATATCCACTAATGTAATAACATTTCTTAAGTGATAACACTTCTCACTGGTAGTTTGCAGTGAAATTGGTATGTGTTGCTATTGGCATGATAAATCATACATTTCCATATCATTTCTGGGAAATAATTTGGAAATATTCAATAAGGGTCATAAAAGTATGTACAAATTTGTATTTAATTTTCTTTAATTTGTGTGTCTATGTGTATATATATACACATAGACACACACACACACACACACACACACACACAGAGAAAGAGAGATTGGTGACAGGAATTTGACCTTATGCAATTTGGGGAGCTGGTTAGGCAGTCTCTATAAAACAGTTGTCTTTTCGCATCTGATACCGGGGCTTGAAGAGGAGGCAGTCAGGAAAGGAAGATGTACATAAAGTGGGGAAAGGCAAGAACAACCTGGAACCCACAGTCATGAGCCAGAGTCCATGGGATGGACTGAAATCCATGTCAATTCTTGCTGCTTTTGACCTTGATGGTGTTAACAAGGCCCAGTGGTCTTCTTGTCCTTTTACCTTTATGCTAAATTCCTCCTTTTCTTAAGTTGGATTGGTTTCTGATACATGCATCCAATAGAGTCCTGACTTCATGCACACACACGGATACAAATGCACGTATAAGTGTATACATACATACACATATGTGAATACATATTGTAAAATATTTATGAGAGAAAATGGGATGGGGAAAAGGGAGGCAAGTATATAGAAAGACAGTGCTAAATTCAGAAAAACCCAACTTACTTTAAATGTCAATTAATAAATGAATAAAAAGAATGATTTCAAAGATGGGAAATGATCCAACCTCATTTTTGAGAAGAGGCTGTGCAGTTGCTGCTTCTTGCAGGAAGAAAGGAGCTCTTGGCTGACAGATTCCTGAAGAGGAAACCTAGAACTGAGAGTACAAAATATGACTTCTTAGGAATGGAAATTTATACGGTTCATTCACTTACGGACTCGACAAACGTTTACTGAACACCTACATGTGCCAGGTGTTCTAGGTGCTGGGATTCAGCGGGGAATAAAACAGACGAAAATGTCCCCACCTTCATGGAGCTTACATTCCAAAGGGGAGGACAAACAATAAACAAAGAAAGTTCCTCAGGTGGTGGATGAGGGCTCGGGAGGAAAACAAAGTGGCCAGTTTCCCTGGGGTGGTAGTTAACGAGTGTGGTCAGGGAAACCTCACCGGCAAGGTGACATTTGAGCACTGACGTGAGAGAGGTACAGGAGGTCTGAGCCGTGCAAGTGTCTATAGAGCAAGGGTCTCTGGCAGAGGGTCAGGGGAGTGTTCCTCAGAGGTGATGAGCTTCACTCATGGTCTGTCTCTTCTCTTTCAGGCAAATGAAGCAGATGCGGTGACCCTTGATGGGGGTTTGGTGTATGAGGCAGGCCTGGCCCCCTACAACCTGAAGCCCATCGTGGCAGAATTCTATAGGTCAAAAGATGGTGTGTTCTCTCCCTGGGGACCCAGGTCTCTGGCCTGACACTGCAGCCATGGGGGGAGGCAGGGACTCTGCCAGCATTACACTTGTAGGGAACAAAGTTGCTGGGGCACTTTGGATTGAAGAAGGCTGCTGTCTGTGATGCCAATCCACAAGGGCTGGGATACTGGCTGTCCCTGGCAGCTGCAGACTTTGTGCCCCTGATGGAATATGCTATTGGTGCTGCTGGCTATGAGGTCCCCCCAGGCTGAGCAGAGGGTGCTGTCTGGAGTCCTTCACTGACCCATGAGGTTGCACCAGTGGGAGGCTCCACACGGGATCTGACTGCCTCTTCCCTGCTGCATGCCCTCCCTGTGCTACAGAACACGGGCCTGCATCTGCGGTGAGGAGAGGTTTTGCGGGGAATCCAAGAATGGGGCTTTGCCACTTTCCCATTCTTTCCACGAGTGTCATTAGTGTGAGTGAGCACAGCCCACCTCAATGTGACTCCAACTTGTAGCACCTTGACATATTCTTGGGGACATCCCCGCATCCTTCCTCTCGTACCTTCTCCTTTGTCTTTGGGCTGTAGACAAAGAAGCAGAGAAGGCAGAGAAGCCCCTGGGGAGAAGCCAAACACCATGACTGCTGGGAGCTGAAGCTCTCCCTAGGTGTGCTCTGCTCAGCCCCTGGGGCTCCTGTCTCCACTGGCTTGGAGGGACTAGCAGAAAAAGAACTAGTGTCTACTGTCTTGAAAAGCGATGGTTATCTCTCTCCTGTCAATTTAGGGCTTTTTTTTCATTTCCTTTTTCTGCTGTTTACCAGAGGATGGCACCAGTCTTAGAATCCCCCAAAGTTCTGCATTGTTCACACTGTGGAAGATCATTGGCAATGATGTGACATCTTCCTCTGGCCCTTCTTTCTCTCTGCTCCTTTGCAGATCCACAAACCTACCATTATGTCGTTGCCATGGTGAAGAAGGGCACCAACTTCCAGCTGAACCAGCTCCAAGGCAAGAAGTCCTGTCACACGGGCCTGGGCTGGTCTGCTGGGTGGAACATCCCCGTCAGGACTCTGCTTCCCTCTGGCTCTCTTGAAGCAGGTAAGCCAGCTGGGGCTGGGTGCCCCTGGGCAGGGCTCCTGCACCCGCTGCCCACAGGGCCATGCTGCGGTCATCCTGTCACTGTCAAGTGTATGTGTTTTGTGGCTTCCAAGATGGGGCAAGGGTAACCTGCTTTAAACGTGCGCTGGCTGGGTGTGTGCACCAGCAACCCGTGGGGGCTGGCAGCTGAGTCTTCTCTCAGCAAAGGTGCCTCTGTCTCTCAGAGCTCCCGTCCTTCCCACCTTCCTGGTAATCCCAGTAGTGTGGCTGGACAAGGGCCAGCACTCAGGCCCATTGAGAAAGGCCCCTACCTCCTAGCTTCCCAGCGAGGCTCCCTGGGGATTCTAGCCACACTGCCAGCCTTAGATGAGGGCTTGGGACATAGGCAAGGAAGGCATGACTGGGCCAGCACAAGGATTTTTTGTGTATGCTTGGGACATAGGCAAGGAAGGCATGACTGGGCCAGCACAAGGATTTTTTGTGTATGCTAAGCTTTTTGTTCAGTTATGACAAGCCATGGTAAGCCTAGTGTATCTTTTCAGGCCTTGAAAGACAATGGCCAATCTTTCTGCACTCTGCAAAAGTGCATCTTTTTGAGGCCTGCCGACCTCTGCAGCAGTCATGCTTTGGCTGTGACAGGGACAAGCAGCTGCAGGGGTCTGATGAAGTGCTGCAGCCTGGACCACAGCTCTGGCCATGTTTTGCCCTTGGGGTGTTCACTTGCCTCAGTGTCAGATGCTACTGGACATCCTTCTGGGCAGTTATGCTGTGGCTGTTGGCACACCCCTGACCCCCTCACCAACAGGCTACCCCAGTGCTCTCCCAGAAGAGGTACCCCATGAGCCACCATAGCCACTGGATATAGAAGGGGAGGTGGGCGTGGGCCCATGTCCTGAGGCAAGGAAGGGCTCCTGCTGTTTGGAGCTCTGCCGGGCCCCTTAGAGCTCCATGTTGGTGAGTTAACAGAGGCGAGAGGCACTGGCACCGCAGTCTTGGTTCAGTGTAGGTCAGTGGCTCTCACACCCTGTAGCAGACAGGCTGGGGAAGCATTCTCATGGGCTCGAGCCCTGGCCCACCCGTGAGTGTGATGCCTAAACACACACAGGGACCCTGGGCCATCCAGCCCCTCTGGCATGTGCACTGGCTGCCTGTGCACGTCCACTTCTCAGACGGTCCTGGGAAGAGGGTGCAGACGCACGGGCTCTCGGATAGGGCCACTCTCTCGCACACGTGCACAACCTGGAGGCCCCAGCCAGCTCATGCATGGGGTCCACGTCTCTGTGTTGAGCAGCAGTGGCCAAGTTCTTCTCCAGCAGCTGTGTCCCCTGTGCGGACGGGAAGGAGTTCCCCAGCCTGTGTAAGCTGTGTGCCGGGACAGGGACAGACAAGTGTGCCTGCTCCTCCCGCGAACCGTACTTTGGCTACTCGGGCGCCTTCAAGTGAGTGAGAGCCCCCGCTCCTCCTCCTCCTCACTCTGAAGTTGGGGAGATAAAGGCACGGGGAGCGGACGATCCGTGTGAAACCCAGGGTCCTGAGTGCCTCCCTTGGCCAACCCTCACTCTCAACCATCCCACAGAGTAGGCTTCTGGTGGGAGCCCCTCTGGTCTCCCCAGAGCCTGGGGTCTGCCATGTTACCCTTCTGGACCAGGGAGGGCCGAGGGGACAGACTTGTCTCTGGGACTCTGGGATCTGCAGACACAGGCCTGGGCTCCTGCAGGGCCAAAGGCCAGGACCTCCCAACTCATATCTTTCTGCTGAGCATGTCCCTGTGCGTGGACCTGTGCCTGCCTCCCCCACCTCCTTCCTAGCCTCCTTGCAGGCACCTCTCCGAACCCCATGCTCTGTAAGAGAAATGGCTACTTCTCAAAACATGGGTGAATCTGGCTGGAAATCCAAGGCCATCCAAAGTCTTTTATCCTTCATGTAAAGGCTTTAAGCCTCTATTTTCTGGGGAAAAAAAATCTGTTGCTTTTGGCTGCTTTTTAAGAGGAAAGTGAGGGTCCTTCTGTCACACCAACCCTCCCCAGAGCTTCCTGGCTTGGTGGCTTCCAGGGCTCCTGCCTGCTTCTGGCCTGGGCATGGCTGTGGGGTTCAAAGACCCCACAGACAGGGCCATCGCCTCTGTGAGGACAGACTGATGCCTGGGAACTCTGGGCAATGCTCTGTGAGCCAATGGTCCGGGCAGACCCTCAGAGGGACTGCAAGAGGGAGGGGCAGGGCCTGGGCCTATGCTGAGCGGCCTGACCGTGGCTCTCCTGTTCCTCAGGTGTCTGAAGGACGGCGTGGGGGACGTGTGCTTCGTTAGGCACCTGACGGTGTTCGGTGAGTGCTGGACAAAGACCATGTGGGCCCCACCCTAGCCAGAGTGAAAAATTTCCTGGCATCTAGAGATGAGTGAAGATCTTTAATGCCACAGGAGACTTTTTGTACAGACGCTTCTGTTACAGTTGTCCCCCTTATCTGCGACTTCCCTGTCCGAGGTCAACTGCAGTCCAAAAATATTACATCGCTACTCTTGTGCTTTGGGGCCATTACTAAGGAAAATAAAGGTTACTGAAGTACAAGCACTGCCACCCCGGAACAGTCGATCTGATCACAGAGATGGCTACAAAGTGACTAAGGGGCAGGTAGTGGAGACAGCATAGAGACGCTGGGCAAAGGGAGGATTCACATCCTGGGGTCGGGACAGAGCAGGATGGCATGAGCTCTCATCATGCTTCTCAGAACAGCATGAATTTAAAACTTATGAATCGTTTACTTCTGGCATTTTCCATGTATGTCACAATACCTACGTCATTCACCTCGCTTCTGCTCATCAAGTAGGCATTCTATTATTACCACAAGAAGAAGGGTGAGTACAGTACGATAAGATATTTAGAGAGAGAAACCACTTATACAACTTTTATTACAGTATATTATTATAATTGTCCTATTTTATTATTAGTTGTCATTAATTTATTACTATGCCTAATTTATAAATCAGACTTCATCATAGGTATGTACATATAGGAAAAAACATAATGTATATAGGATTTGTTACTATCCAAGGTTTCAGGCATCTACTGGGGGTCTTGGAACGTATCCTCCACAGATAAGGAGGGGTCTACTGTATTTGTACCTTGTTTAGTGCTCAATTTGTTTCACCTATAAATCTACTAAACAAATTTTATGAATATTTAAATAATACTAACCAATTGTTCTGTTTCTAATAAAACAGAACAAGTTTTAATAATCAATTCTGTCAGTCATTGAAATGTCAATTTCAAATTTAATCATACTCTCCTGAACCTTTCATTATAAATGTCTCCTAAATGCTCCAAACAAGTCCAGCAAAACACAAATTACTGTAAGTATTTCAGTATTTATTAGCAAATTTACAATAGAATATGTTGCAAAAGCATTATTGCCATGGACAAAATTATGTATTTCTTCTTTACTTTTATATTTGGGGGGAAAAAACTCAAACCCTTCCAGAGTTTTTGACAATTTACCATAAAGAAACAAACACAGTAGGATTTCAGACAAGTTGAGGTTACAGATTCTGGGTTTTATGACCAATTAAATTTCCATCAGATACAGAACACACTTGTACTGTTCAAACACGTTTAAAACCCACATGTAAATTCACTGTACAAGCTCATTTTTAAAACAAATATGTGCTATCTCAAGGAGAATGCTAAGTTCTCACTTTTCGCAGGGGTCTCAGCTCCTTACCACCTAGTGTCTTTCTCTAATGTGAAACATGATTTCAGTGTCCTTTGTCCCCTTGTCCAGCATTCACAATTCACTGTCTCTTCATTATCACACATTGCCCTGGTTTGTTAGCATTTTGGCAATTGACACATGTCTTTTTATCAAGAATTTTAATGAGCGGGGTCGCCTACGGGTCTTGTCTCCCAGAATCGAGCCATTCTAAATAATTAATATCCCTGCTCTGTGGAAGGAAGATTGTCCCAGTCCATCCTGATTTAACTTGCCAAAAGCCACTTGTCTGCTATTATGTAAGATCCCCTATTGCTTTTTTAGGAGAATTGTATGAGGGACCATCCTCTGGGCTTTAGAGTGACAAAGAGACTGGGGAGAGAGCCATGGTCCACCTGCTGCCACCACCGCTGGGCTCTTGAGTGTCTGAAGTGGAAGTTATTTCTTTCTTAAGCCATTAGGTCGTACTGATTTGTTTAATCTAACACTACTAAGTCATTTGAAATTTTTTCTTTTACTGTAAGGATTTAAAATGTATTTTCTCTATGGCACACTGAATTAAAATTGTAACCACTCATAGGAACCATAATTGTAATTTTCCTTTTTCAATACGAGACTGTATAATATTAACCACAAAGACCTGTAGTAGTTTGCTAGGACTACCGTAACAAAGTACCACAAACTGCATGGTTTAAGCAACAGAAATGTATTGTCTCACAGTTCTGGAGGCTTGAATTCCAAGATCAAGGTGTTGGCAGGGTTCGTTCCTTCTGAGGGCTGTGAGGGAGAATCTATTCCATGCCTCTCTCTACTAGTTTCGGAAGATTTGTGAGCAATATTTGATGTCCCTTGACCTGTAGACACGTCATGGCAATCTCTGCCTTCGTGTTCACATGGCATTCCCCCTGTGTGCGTGTCGGTCTGTGTCCAAATTTCCAACAGTCATACTGGATTGGGGGCCCACCCTATTCCAGTATGACCTCGTCTTAACTAATCACATCTGCAAGGACCCTATTTCCAAATAAGGTCACATTCTGAATTACTGGGGGTTAGGACTTCAGCATATGAATTTGTTGAACCCATAATGCTTTCTAATACTTAGATGATGGGAACCAAGAGCCTGTTTTCCTAGAGGGCAATTTTGGTCCTTCTTTATACCTGCAGAGTGCTCTGACTGGGCCTTGAGGTCATCCTGCCATCCCTCAATCCTTTTGCTACCTTTCCCCAACAGGCTCTGCCTTGGGGGAATGTGGCCCCTTTAGTGGGGGACCTAGGCTGTGCTAGCATGGCAGTGTGTCAGCCCCAGACTAGCTGAGACTTTGACAAGTTACCTTAAGTCTCTGGGTCTCAGTTTCCTCATCTGTAAAATGGGATAATCATGTTACTGGCCTCCCCCAGCTGTTGTGAGGATGAGAGGAGACAGCCTGGAGAGCCCTCAGCACAGTCTTTGGTGGCCGTGAGTTCTCAGCACACCTTTGCTGCCACATTCCCATCAGCAGAGCCACAGAGAAGGGTTGAGGGTGGTTCCTGAGGGCCCTGGGCCAGGCACATTGCCCAGTCCTGTGTCTACCTGTGAGCTGGGTTTCACTCTCAAGGCCTCTCTCTGGTCCTTATCTGTAGAGAATGAGTTTGGAAAAGATTCTTTCTCAGTCCCCTTCAGGTCACAGTGAGAAGGGGGCTCATCTTAACTATGGCTCATGGCTCTTCCTGCACTCGGCTCACCTGGGCTTCCCCCACAGAGAACCTGGCAAACAAGGCCGACAGGGACCAGTATGAGCTGCTCTGCCTGGACAACACCCGGAAGCCAGTGGATGAATACAAGGACTGCTACTTGGCCAAGGTCCCTTCTCACGCTGTTGTGGCCCGAAGTGTGGACGGCAAGGAGGACTTGATCTGGGAGCTTCTCAACCAGGCCCAGGTATCCCATCAGACAAAGATTTTAAACCACTCACAGACGAGTACTGAAGACGTACAGATTTTCAGATGGAATCGCATTACCTTGAGGACATGGATCGTGTCGTTTGTGGAGGACAGAGGGACTAATTTGCAGGGTGTATCTGGGAAGATTTCTGGGCCCTGCCTGGGCAGTAAGCTGTGTGCACCCTAAGGAAGTATGGGAGTTTGCCAGGCAGGGCAGCAGGCAACCTTTCAAACAGGGCCACTGCAAAAGCTGAAATAGGCAGACATTTGAAAGACCACGTGGGTAGGCGCTGCCGTAAGCTACATCAGGAATGGCTTTGGGCCAGTCAGCTGAAGTCATAGGCAAAGGGCCCTTTGTTTTCTTGGAGGCCAGAAAGGAGAAGAGGCTGTGTGATGTCCCACAGCTGGTCCTCCAGTGGCAGGCCTGGAGCAAGGGGAGAGGAGCCCAGGAGGCCTGACCTGCAGCCCACCGTGCTGGGTCACCAACCCTTCAGGATGAAGACCACCATAGCCCCTCGGGGCCATCCAACAGCCAGGGTGAGGCAGCCTTCGCTGAGTGCCCATGGGAACACAGAGCATCAGGCACATTGGAGGGGGGCAGGTGCCTGGAACATGGCGGCCCCACAGCCCTTTGCGCAGACCTGGGGGGCAGCCCCTGGCAGCTTCCCTGAGACCACACAAGGCAGGCAAACTGGAATTTGAGTAAAGCATTCCCTGGAGAGACTGGAGAACACCGTGAGCCACAGAGATGCTGAGGACCTTGGCCACTGTTCTCGCTCTCAGGCGCTCATGTTTCTCGCTTTCTGTCTCCCTTGTCTGGTTTGGGGTTTTGTTTAACCTTTACCACTATGCCAGCCTCCATCCTTCACTGTTTCCTTTATTCTTTGAACAGGAACATTTTGGAAAAGACAAGTCATCAGAATTTCAGCTCTTTGGCTCTCCTCATGGGAAGGATCTGCTGTTTACTGATGCCACCCATGGGTTTCTAAGGGTCCCACCCAAGATGGATGCCAAGCTGTACCTGGGATATGAGTATTTTCCTAACACTCAGCGTCCAAAGATAGGTATGTGAGGTCCTGGGAGGGACCTGGCCAGCTTGGGCCACAGGGCAGGCAGGGCCATCAGTTGAGGCTTTCCCGGTAGCTGAGCCTCACCCACACTTTATTGGCCTGCAGAGCCCAAGGGAGCTACTAACTGCATTGGGCTGATGAGGGGTTTTCTGCCAAGCTGGGAGAAAGGCCTAATTTCTGTGATTACAAAAAGGGTTTTGAAGACCTTCATATTATAGATAACTTCAAGTAATGATGACTCTGGCTCCTTTGTGTTAACTGGGGTCATCCCAACCAGGCCAGGCCTATTTGACAGGAAAATAGTCTGTCCTAAACTGAAGTGGGAATGTGGCCACCACCATCAGGAGGAGAACTAGAATTCCAGAGGATTTTAGTCTGGCTCCTTCCTTCCATGGGATCCCTATGGTTCATTCCTTCCTTCCTTCCTGCTTCTATTCCCTCCCCCCAACTCCCCATTCAGTCAACCAATAGTTATTGGGCATCTACCAAAGGGCAGCCGCTGCATTAGACATGGGCGTATGGTGGGGAGCAAAGACACTGGGGAAGGAGAGGGCAAGCAGACCCACCCAGAACCGAACACGTGGCCCCCAACTGGGGCATGCTGCTGGGACAGGGAGCCCAGCCCTGTAAGAGAATACCCCACAAGGCCCTGAGCTGGGCTGGGCCCAGAGAGGTTTTCCCAGAGAGGAGATGCCTGAGGAGGTGAGGTCAGGAGGGAGGAGGAGCTCTGCCTTCACTGCTCTTTCTGACAACATGTCGCCTCTGCTGCTGTCCATGAGGGCCCCACTGGACAGCCACCCTGTGGCCAGGGGCACTAAACCCCAGATCCATCTGGGCTTCCTTTGGATCCCCAGATGCCCAGAAGGTGCGGTGGTGTGCTGTGGGCCACCTTGAGAGGTCCAAATGTGACGAGTGGAGTGCAGTGAGCGGGGGTGCCCTAGAGTGCACCACGGAGGAGACCACTGAGGACTGCATCGCCGCCATCATGGTAGGAGGGCCCTGCTTCCATGGCTGGGCTCAGCCACTCACACACGCAGTGCTTCCACGGAGTCTGGCACTGGAGACCCCCTTCTCAGATGCCACCTTGTCAGCCTCTGTGCTAAGACCTGTCCCCACCTCACACACCCCACAGGCCCCTCCAGCTCAGGGCTGGGCAGAAACACAGAGCCAGCCCAGACCCAGACTCCTTGGGGGCTCAGCTCTGGAGTGGGAGCTTGGAGGAGTACCCTGCCTAGGAGCCAGGGGAAGTGGGGTGACATTCCAAGATGTGGTCAGGGCCACTATGGATTGTGAAAGCAGATCAACCTTTTTAGTCTTTGAATTGTAAGTTTAATCTTTTTCTGATTATAAAAATATTACAATAAATAAATCACTAAAAATAAACAAAATCATTCATAACTTCACTCAGAGATCATTATCGCATGATTTCTGAGTGATGAAGTTGTGTGGTTATTAACTTTCCATTTTTCTATGAGCAGATACTATTTTTGTGATTAGGAAAAAATAAATTTTTAAATAAATGACTTAAAAATGAACAAACTTAAAAAATTATACACTATATAACAAGTTTTTTTTTAATTTGAAAAGATCCTCATATTGGTAAATCTCCCTGGCACCAATCCATAAGATTTAGATCTAATGGTTATACAATTTCCTAAAGTTGTCAGTTGTAAGCATTAAATGAATTTGAGTGCTTATAACATTGCCTGGTGTAAGCAAGCAGTCAATAAATGTTAGCTATAGTTATTATTCCTTTAAATCTTGAGCACATTGGTGCACTTTCTTAAGTAACGAAACATTTGTTTAAAACACATTTTTAATGGCTGCGTAATATTCCACCAAGTGTTTCTGCCTCAATTTATTTAACCAATTTCTGCATGTCTCCATTTGAGTTATTTCCAAATTCTTTGCTATTATAGATAATGTGGTATTGAAAATCTTTGTATCTATAACTGCCAATATTTCTGAGTGTATCTTTAATATTAATGATAGCTACTATTTCTAGAGTTACGGTGTGCCACACATGTGTATGAGCTCTTAATTGCATTACTCATTTAATCCTCATGGTAAGCCTATGAGGTATCATTTTTACCCAATTTATGAATGAAAAAATATATATAGCATAGTATTTAGGGATGTGTGCTTTGGAGTAATCAGATCCCAGAGGTCATGTGGAATAGTGGTTACAAGCAGAAGTCAAGGAATTAAACTGCCTATCTATTGGACATATTATTTAATCTCTCTAGGCTGCAGCTTACTAATTTGTAAAAGGGGAAATTATAGTACCTATCTTCTTTGAGAATGTGAGGGATATGTGAGGTAAACACTATAAAGTGTTCAGAAAGAAGCCTGGCACATGACCAGGGCTTAGTAAGTTGTTGCTGCTATAATTGATGTTTTTAGATTTCTAGAAAGGCAATTAACAGCTCAAAAGCAAAGAGTGTGTATATGTATGTTTTTGTCTTGATGATCTTATCTATGATTATAGGTATACATTTTTTGTTCTGTTGTGAGAACAGATTAAAATTGATTAAAATGAGAAGTTAACTATTAATGAATTATTTAGAGAAATCAATTATTTATTAAAAATATTTGTTGTACTGGGACACTGAGTACAGTGCTAGTGCAATTAAGGGAACAGATTTGAACTCCATCATCTGGAAGAAAATGTGTTCCATAGAAACAGATTAAATACATTTCCTGAGTCTGGCCATAAGGATCATGGAGTTGAGTGATAATGGTCACAAAGAAGGTGTGGTTAGGGCATGTCCAGGACTCAGCGTGGGCACTGAGAGAACATAGATGTCCAGGGAGCATGACCTGGGTTGGGTGCTTGCTTGTTCCTGGGTCAACAGGCCAAAAGCATGTCCAGTTTTCTAAACCCTGTGTTTACATGGCAGAAGCTTTGGGTAACCCATGATTTGGTTAATCATGAGGACATGTGACATGAAGCCAACAAGATGGAAACCTCTGAGAGTCAGAGGGACAGGAGACAGCCTTGCTGTGATGCTATCCATTTGTTTCTTAACTTTAGAAAGAAGAAGCTGATGCCGTTAGCTTAGATGGAGGATTCATCTACATAGCAGGCAAGTGTGGTTTGGTGCCTGTCCTGGCAGAGAACTACGGTAAGTGGAGGGGAGAGCCACTCTGTGTTTTATTCCCCCTGGGCCATGGACATAGAAAGATAAGGAAATAATTTAGTGCAGTGTTGAGACAATAACTATTGTTGGAGTATAGGGAGTGGTAGATAAAGTCCCACTTCCCCAGAGTCAGAACCAATTAAAATGTAGACAGAGAAGTTAGGTAGAAAGAGATCAAAATAACACCTTTATGTCTGATGTAGTGATATTGGAGAGCCTGGTGTAGAGCTGGCATCGGGCTTGCCAAATTGCTTGTCAGAGTTGCCCACTAATTCAGGGGACCCTGCCTGTTGGCTTACCCCATGACTCAGGGCAAAGTCAAATGCATTTTGTTATAAGTGAGAGGATCTAAACTACCCTCTCCCTATTCTCCTCAATAAAGGAAGAAGGGACTGAGCCACATGTGCTTAGATCCTTTCACCAAATTTACTAGTCATTAACTCACTCCAGCTGCACTGGGTGGTTGAGGGGGTGAGGCCACAAGGTCATGTTCTCTAGTGAGGATCCATCCACATGGAAGAATTAAGCCAGGGGAAAAGAGGATTTCCCTACTACCATTTATTACACCTCAGCTGCTATGTTATCCTTCAACACAAAACAACTATGTGAGGTAAATGGAGGTGTCTCCATTTTACAGATGTAAAAAGTGAGCCTTAGGAAAGTCAAGGGATGTGATGAAGATAGAATAAAAACTGAATCCAGATCTTGCCGACTCCATGGACTGGGTTCTTTCCCTCCAACATAGCAAGAATATAATGATTGCCTTCCACAGTCTAGGGCTCTGAAGGAGAGATGAACATCAGGTTGACTTACACAGCTAATGCAAAAGGGTCTTTGCCAAGATCTGCAATGGTCTCTGTCCCTCCCTCCTTCAGTGGGCATCTCATTTTCTTTCTCTGCATCTTCCCGAATATTGGGGAGATTCTGGGATGAAACCTAATGTTTAAATAGCAAAAAGCAGAGGGAGAGGGGATAAAATGGGCCTGTGGAACCCACTGATAACCATGACAAACTGCTTAGTTAGTGCTTCTTCTCATTTTGTTCTTGACCATTGGGACTGAGAAGCTCATGACTTTGGGTGGAGTAACGTGAGTTTAATGCCATGTATCTTGATTGTTTTTTTTTTTTCCTTTTAGAGCCTAGGAGTACTGGGTCTAAGTGTGTGAATACACCTGTGGAAGGTGAGTCAGAATCAGTAACTGGGGCGCAAAGGTACAGACTCATTGCTGGGGAGATAATGAGGAAAGCCTTAGGAACAAACAAAAATTAGTAGAGGTGGGAAATAAAAAAATAACATTTAATTGCTAAGATGCGAATCTGTCCTGAAGCTGTAATAATATTTGTGGGATACTTAACAGTTAACAGAGGTGAAAACCAGGTGCTTACTTGAGTTTAGGGTTTCTTATTAGTCAGGAGAGCTGGGGAAGGTGAGGGGGTTTGAAGTGCCATAGCACAAGGAGCATCATGTGGTCTCGGTCCCCTCCTGAGCACTGGGTCACAGAGGCGCTGTACCACCCACCCTCCACTAAGGCTGCCAGAGTGCAAAGCTGAGGCCTGGCTTCCCTGCTCACCTGCAGCAACTCCCCTGCATGCACGACAGAACCTAAGCCCTGGAATACACTGGAGCTCACCCCTCTCTGCTTTCATGGCTAAGGAGTCTTCTCTGAATTGTGTCTTCAACCCCAATCCTAAGAGCCAGCCTTTCATTAGCCATGTATTCTATCCTGATCATTTATGGTCAGAAACAACCCTAACTGTTTCAAGAGTAGTTGAAATTCCTAGGAACTGCAAAGGTATGCAAATGTAGATCAACAGAATGCTTAGAAGACAGTTCAGACACTGGCAGCATGGCTGACTATGACGGAGAAGGTTCCATCTGAGTAGAGATGGAGAGGGCAAACCACAAAGTCACACACACACGGGCAAAGATGGACGATGATGATCAACACCACAGGTGCAGAAAGAGTTACAGCGAAGGAAGGCACTGTAACATCGTTGGCTACTGAACCGGTGCAATGAGCACCGTCTGGTAGGCAACCGGTCCTGCTCCTGCACCAGCAACGCTGCTGGGAACCCTCTGTGAGCTGCCCTGCCCATTCCTTATGCACAAAATGCTCAGGTCAGCACATCTGATACCCCTCATGAAGGGGTATCGCCACCTGGGATGGGTTTCACTGTCTCTATTTAACTGAGGAGAAATTTAGGCTTCTAGATTCTAAGTGACTTGTCTGAGGCCATTTAGGAAGGAACTACAAGGCAGGTCCTCCACATGCTGTGTTGACTCCCAACTTTTCCAGCTTGAATATGTAGAGACCTGATCTACAATACTGGGAGTGTGTGTGTGTGTGTGTGTGTGTGTGGTGGTGAGCCACATTGTCTTCTAATTCTAAAGATTTATGATTCTAATATTATCTCCAGTTTGCAATCCATGCCTTACTCAACAAGCACAATTCAGTTATATAATATTGGGACAGGAATAAATGGAATATTAATGGTATTCTCATTAGAATCAGGAGAAAGGCAAGAATACCCTCTCCCACCAAAGGTATTTGGTACCATTTTAGAAGTGAATGCAGTGAGATAAGAAAAAGAATTGGTGTTTTTTTTAAAATTGGAAAAGGGAAGAGAGATTAAATTATTATTATTAGAAAATATTATGGTAAACCTAGAAAAATCAGAGACTAAACGTTAAAAAAGAAGTCATTAAAGCTCTTTCTTTTGAACTTCTATTCAACAGAAATACTTAAGCAAGTGCATACTCACATGTAAAAAGATCCATATGGATAAGTGGTCTGTAGTCGGGCAAAAATGGGTCACAATGTAAATGCCGACCAGTAGGAAGATTGTAAAATACCACGCATCCATACAATAGGACATAGCTTAGATTCGACCAACACGGAATGAGATAGCCATGTCTATTTCTACCGAATCAGAAAGGCGTCCACAATATATTATTGAGGAGGAATAAAATAACTCGCAGAAAAGAATGCGTAGCAGGATTCTGTTGAAAAAGTACGGAGTGTATGTAAATATATGTGGGTCTACGTATGTAGACGTGTCTGGGGACCAGTAGTGTGAGTCTTTTTGGCCCAACACCTAATACTAATAGCTACTGGGAGGGTCCTCTGCTAGAGTAAGATGAGAAGTTCAAGATTCCCCCTGCCCCCCAGGGACAGTGGCAGGCAGGGGCTAGCAGAAGCAGTTTGGAATACATTTTCAGAGGGTCCTGGAGGTATTAAAATTGTATCTTGGCACTCCTTCCAATAATATGTGTGTAATTTATAATGTATATATTTATAAATATGTATATTGTGTATATATATGCATATATATTCTAAATATATAGTCTATAAGTATATATATATAAATGTACAGGGTTTTTTTCCTGAAAGACCATACTTGCTGCCAGCTGAGTCTTCTCTGAGATGGCCTTGCTATTTGCTTGAAAGGATAGGCAAGTCTGGTGTGGTGGCTCACACCTGCAATCCCAGCTACTCAGGAGGCTGAGGCAGGAGGGTCCCTTGAGGCCAGGAATTCAAGACCAATGTGGGGAACATAGTGAGATCATGTCTATAAATTTTAAAAAAATTTAGCTGAATGCAGTTGTGGTGCCCATGGTCCCAGCTACTCGGGAGATTGAGGCAGGAGGATCACTTGAGCCTAGGAGATCGTGTTCAGCCTAGGGTGATATAGTGAGACCCCACCTCAAAATACATACATGCATACATACATACTTGCCAGGCAGAGAACATCAGTGAGGGATCAGTGAAGAAATGAAGCACTATTTTAAGCAGGAAGAGATTTAATATAGTGAGTTAAATGTTAACAAAAAGTGGACACTGGGTTCCTAGAATAACTCCCACCCGGAACGAAACAGAACTGACTCCCTAGAAGAGCGACTACATCCAAGACCTCCACTAGTACAGTGAGTCTGAGACACAGCCTGTCACTGTGGTCCAGGGACAGGAAGCCAGAACTGATTAGAGGCTGTTCCTGCTGCAATAGCCTCTAATTCCCTAGGATGAAGAAGGGTACTGGAGAAATGGACAGGGACCTAACATTTCCAGGACTTTGTTTCCTAGAAGAAAAGAGGGGAAGGGGAAGGCAAAGGACCCCTGTGTCACTTCCACCTTCCAAATCTCACACACCCTAATTTACATTAAGAACATAGCTGCCAGAAAAGATTGGAAGTGTAGTTTCCACGTCTCCAGCCAGAAGAGGGATGGAAATGGAGAATGCCAATTCACATTATCCACCATACAGAGAGGCCATCGAATGGCCTGGTGCAGGAGGCTGGTCAGATCCCACTTGATCCTCCACCCTTCCTCCTCCTCCCTCTACCCCCAACTGAAAAAGAAGAAATTGCATCTTATTATCTCTATTGCAAGGTTATTTTGTCGTGGCTGTGGTTAAGAAATCAGATGCTGATGTCACCTGGAACTCTCTTCGAGGCAAGAAGTCCTGCCACACTGCAGTTGGCACTTCGGCAGGCTGGAACATCCCCATGGGTTTAATATACAATCAAACCGGGTCCTGTAAATTTGGTGAGTGTGTTCTGGGAGGAGTTATGGCAGTCCCTTCGTTTTGCCTGTGCCTGGGTAGGGAAAAAATTCAGTTCAATGAATGGCAAGAAATGCCATAAATGGGCGGTAGAGTGAAGAGTTTGACAGAAATTGTGGGTGAGCAGTACATCTGCTTGAACAGGTCCTCACCCCCTTGCTCCTGAGAGGAGAGCCTCGGCGCAAAGGGCAGATCTCCGGGAAATAGCCCTGTTCTGTACGTCTCACAAATGGCTCAGGGAACAAGCCTGGGGTTGCAAAGCAAGAGTGGGGTGCATGTGTGTGTGCACATGTGTGTGTGTGTGTGTGTGTGTGTGTGTGTGTGTGTGTATTGTTTTCACATATAAACTGAATTGGCTACCTTCTTAATTGAAAACCTTCCACTGGTAAGTCCTTGAGTGCTGTATCTTTCACATCCATCCTCATCTCTCTTAGATGCTCACATGAGTCATTTCAGCTGTGCTCTTGCCAATACCTAAGGGCTCCTGCTCCTCTGCTTTCCCCAGCCCTCTGACGAATCCCATCCCTGCATGAACCCCGTTACCTGCTCTCTTCTGCACCTGAGCAGGTGAACATGACTGGAGAACGTCCCAGGGCGGTGGAGCTGTTCATTTCACTGGAATGCTTCAGGCGCTGGCCTCGGTGGGCCCCCAACACTCACAAGTGCCCCCAGAGTATCTCTGCTCCACGTGTCACCCTTCCCAACAACTATCCTGTGTCCTGATTGTCCACACGTCTCAAACCCACGTCCACCTACCACCTTTCTCAGCAGATGACCTTGCCTGCACTGGCAAGAGACAACTGAAGCCATCAGAGAGGTGCCCCTCAATATCCCGCTGCTGCTGCCGAAGGCTGCGGGCCTCCCGAGGGCTGCATCTCCGCAGCCTCCTCCCTCCCCAGACAGTCCTCTGCTTACCCACACGTAGGTTCAGGTCACTCCCCTGCCCCCTCCACAGTCTCATACCCTCAGTTATTACGTCTCCCTCTGGTGTACCCAACAATTTCAGTGTGTAAACACACGCAATGTCTTCCTTCCTTAAAAATTCCCCCTCTCCCAACATTGTCCCCCAGCTCCTGCCTGCTCTCTCTCCTCCTCCCTACTGCCAGATGTGTCAAAGCATTGTCTGAACCATTGTCCGTGTTGCTCAGATGGGAAGACATGTTCCAGTTCTTTCCTCAATGACCTCCCAGCAGCATTTCCTCAAATCTCCCCAAAACGGTACTTCCTGCCCTCAAGGTCCCCTTTTCCCAACCTGGTTAAGAAATGTTTGAGTTGCTTCAAGCAGCTCTCTCCGCCCAATCTAAACCCAATCCTCAAGCACTTGCACCCATGCCTACGGCCTCAACTACCAACCACAGGAGTGCTGTGCATCTGGGCCGAGGCACACCGTAAGCACGAGGTGAACGTTGGCTGCTCTCGCTATTAATATTCTGTCTGTGTGTTGGTAACTGTCAAGTTCTTATCCCTAGCACAGATCTCTCCTTGACCTCCAGACTCGTGTATATTGAACTGCCTATTTGACATTTCTGGTTGGACATCTCAAAAGCACATTAAGCTCATGCTATCGAAAAACTGAATGCAACATCCCTGCCGAGCCTGGGCCTGTTCCAGATCTACCTAGCTTGGTGGAGCATCCCACAGTCCATCTACTCGCCCCTGCTGGAAGCCTCGCTGTCATCCTCCACACTCCCATCCGTCACCAGGATGTCAACCTCTCCTCCTTCGGCCTCTCTCCCTCCCCTTTGCTCCCCTCTAGTTTGAGCTGCCCTCATCTCTCTGGACGGCTGCAGTAGCCTGCCGCCTGAACTCCACATCCACCCTGCTTTCCATCCACCCCGCTGCCAGGCCGAACTGTGCAAAGTGCAGTTCTCACTGTCTCCTGCCCACTACCTCTGGCCCAGCATCGTCTAAAACCCTTCAGAGACTCCTCATTTCTCTAAAGATAAAGAACAAAATCTACACAATGGAGTAAAAGGTCACGTGTGGTCTGCACCCTTCCCCCTCCCCACCCACCACCTTCCTCTCTATGGTCCAGCCCCGATGGCCTCCAAGAAGCTCTCTGTGCCTTGCCCCTGCTCCCACCCAACACAGGCCTGTGCAGATGCTGGTCCCCATCTGGAAGGCTTTTCTCCCTCTACCTTTCACTTGAGTGACTCCTACTCACTCTTCATCTCCCGGCTTGAGGCTTCTCCCTGACTCCCAGGGCTGCAGAGGGTTCCTTTATCTGTAGGAATCGTATTCTTTTTTCCTAGAGCAAGGAGGGAAACACAAACGCACTGGTGGGTTACTGTCGCCCCATCGGCCACAGGTTTCAAGGGCAGGGGCTGTGCCTGATCTCCTAGAGCTCACTGTAGGGCTTGGCAGCTGTGCCTCCGCGGGCCCTTCCTGGACTTGAAGCCAAGATGGTAAACCTTGTAAAGACGGACAAGGGCGGCAGAGGTCAGAGAACATGTGGTATAGGTTCAACCAGCCAGGACTTCCATTTTGTCCACTCGCTTAGGGTTAAATTCTGCACCCACACTTTGACACCACTGCCCTGAGCTGGGGCAGGGTGGACTTCTGTGAGCTCACACACCCTTTCTCCAACTTGAGTCAGTTTCTTTTACTTTGCTCCAGCTGAAACCTTTTTTTAATTCCATAAAGTTCTGTTAATGATGTGTTACTAAATAACTAAATGTGTCTTTACAGGCTTCAGGCAATTTTAGGGACAAAATCTGAGGCTTTCTTGCTAACACAGGCAGGAAGAGCTGACCTCTGGCTGTCCTTCCTCGCAGATGAGTTCTTCAGCAGCAGCTGTGCCCCCGGGTCTAAACCGGACTGCCCTCTCTGTGCTCTGTGTAATGGCAGCAGCGACCCCGCACACACATGTGCTCCCAGCAGCCGCGAGAGATACTACGGCTCCAGTGGGGCTTTCAGGCAAGCAGTTTCTCTTTGCACCAACCCAGTGAACTTCTTGTTCTCTCACTTTTTTCATCATCCCAGCATCTGGGTGCTGCATTTAGAAAGAGCCAGAATTAGGAACCAGAACCACTGCAAATTCCTATTTTATCTACTTATCTTGTTTCCTGTCTCTTTTCTCCAATAAAATGAGTAAGACCCTTTTGGTTGCAAGTGAGAAAACCTCACGTGAAGCAGCTTATGCCAAGGGGATATTTCAACAGATGGTCTGGAATCTCCCTCCTTGTGAGGGCTAACACCTGAGCCTAAGGAGCCAGCCAAGATGGCTTAAGGGTAGTGTTACCAGATAAAATTCAGGATTTACAGTTAAATCAGAATTCCAGGGAGACAATGAGTGATTTGTCAGTATGAGGCAACACACCCTTTCTCCTGTCTGTCTCTCTCTGCACATCTCCATTTTTCTCTTTCCCTGCAGGGTGGTTTTCTGTCTCGTAGTCTACATGGTGGGAAGTGTTTACGCCCAGCAGCCCCAGTGTCATTACAGCTCGTCAGTTATAAAGAGCAGTCAAACACAGACCATAGCATGGTAGTTCTCAGGAAAGGCGATTGTCAGCCAGTCTGGGTGAAAGTTTCTTGTCTCCAAAACTCATTCAGTGAAGTCATATTGTAAAGTGACGGCTGCCTCTACTACAACCAAGTGGACTGAGGGGGGCTGGGTGGGAGGAGTCAATTCTCAAAAAATTAACAATGTTTGGGAACCAAATGAGAGCCAAGAATTTTTTTTAAAAAATGATACAAAGGTAATTTTGCTTTCCTAGATACAAAAATTACAATACTCAAATTACAAAAATCAATGCAGCATGGTTTAAGTGCAAGAATGACAAATAAGTGGAAGACAATAGAGTTGCAAGAGAGTCATGAACATAGAACAGTTTGGTCTATAACAAAGGTGACATCTCAAATCACTGGGGAAGGAATGAACTTGAGAGAGCAAATAATACGAGTACTGAGAGCTGGCCCCTGGATCTGGTGACCCTGGCAGGAGCTCATTTAATAATGCCTTGGTCCTGGAAGCTGGACCAGCCAGGGCCAGGAGACTGGTGGGAAGGCTGAGTGAGGATGACCTCTTTAGGTGTTTCAATGAGAGGGGTAGAGAGGTCTCTTCCTGCAGGGCAGTGTGGGATCAAAGCAGGACTTATTGTCTTTTTTTTTTTTTGTAAAGAAAAGTCACATGAATGCTGATTAAAAGAGTCCAGCAAACAGGGACAGGTTACAATTACATGAGAGAAAGAGTATAACTACCGCAGAAAGTTGCAGGGCAGGGCTGGGATGCAGAGACCCAGGAGAGAGACCTTCCCTCCTTTGTGCCTGGACAGCAGAAGAGAGCCCTGGGGACTGGCTGGCCGATCTGACAGAAGAATGCTGAGAGAAAGCCCCTTAATGACCTCTGTGTGTTCTCCAGGAAGCAAGAGCACATGTCATGGTGTGTGAGCGTTGGGAGGTGGATGTGGACAGGCAGAGGTTTGTGGAAAGTGGGGAAACGTTTTGAAGCTATCGCTCTTCAGAGTGGGGAGGTGGCTGTCTGGGCAGTGGTCCTCACACATGAGCACAGGTCAGAGTGTCCTGGAGGGCTGGTTAAGGCACAGATTCCTGGGCCCCACCTCCAGAGTTCCTGACCCAGCAGGTCTGGGTGCAGCCCAGGAATCTGCACTTCTAACAAGTGTCCGGCTGATGTCGATATTGCTGGTCCCTAGCCTACAACTTTGAGAACCATTGGTCTAGAACAGAGAAAGGAAGGCAAGAACACCAAGGTGAAGTTAAGGATCAGGAAGATTTCTTTCTGTCTACCTTGTCCTGTGACAGATGATCACGCTCATTTAGGAGTGGGATTCTATGAAGTGGGCACAAAGGAAAGAGGTAGAGAGCTTAGGAAGCTTGAATGGGAGTGATTGACCCTAGCTAGGTATAGAGGGACCTGAAGATAGGAGAGAGAGAAAACTGGAGATGCTGCTGACAATTACTAGCCATTTCAAACTGACACAATGTCACAAAACTGATTTTTAATGTGCTCAACATTTCTCATAAAGAATGCACCTTGGACACAGAGAAACATGTTTCATGGGATAAAGGGTGAACAAATGTTTAGTGATGTATATTCACTTTTATTAATACTGCATAGACATATGAGTGTGATAAAACTACAAAATCACATCTTCCATGCTGATTTTAATCTCTGATGTTGTGAGTTTTGATCCAACCAGAGAGTCATCCCTGTTAATATTAACATAGAACACACATACTGCCTCTGGAGAAATTGATCAACATTTAAAGGACAGACCCGAACAATGATTATGCATAATAGAAATAAGTAGGCAGTTTTCTCTTCCTATTACATTCCCCCTGTAATTCGCAGGGATAGCGTGGGCCTTGCAGGTGTTGTGTGGAAGTGTTGGGCCAGCGTGAAAGGGGTGGGAGCCTCCGTGTCTCCCGCTCAGTTTCTCCCCCTCCCGCTCCTGCTTATCCTCCTTGCTGACCTGCCCCTCACTCACTGTGCAGGTGTCTGGTGGAGAAGGGAGACGTGGCCTTTGTCAACCACCGCGCAGTCCTGCGGAACACTGACGGTACGTGCCCACGCCGTCCCGTCCTGTCTGGGGAAAGTCGAAGTCTCCCATGTAGAATCACCCCTCATTTAGGCAACTGGGGATTGTTAACTTTACTGGACTCTAGTGACTTAGGTCCCAACATTTTTAGTTTAGGGAATGAGAAAATTCTTCATGTCTGGTCAGACTCGATGGGGTTGGTTATCATTGACCATGAACCCACCTGACAAACACACAGAGACCACAGTACATAAGAGCTTGTTTGACTCTCCTGATTTGTTTTTTCTTTTCTCTTTTTTTTCTAATTTTCAAAATTATAAAAAAGAGATGGGGGTCTTATTCTTGCTCAGGCTGGTCTCGAACTCCTGAGCTCAAATGATCTGCCTGCCTCGGCCTCCCAGAGTGTTAGGATTACAGGTGTGAGCCACTGCACCCGGCCGACTCTCCTGATTTATAGACATTTTTATATACTCTGGATACAAGTTTTTGTCGGCCATATGTATTGAAAATATCCCTGTCTATGGTTTGCCTTTTCGTGTTTCTAATGGTGTCTTTCAGTGAATGAGTAGACATTCTTAATCTTAATATGGTTCAACTTGTCAATCTTTTCCTTTCTGGCTAGGGCTTTTTCAGGCCCGTTTAACAAATCTTTGCCTTTAACAGGATGGAAAAAACACTAGCCAGAAAGGTTTATGGATTTATGAGTCTATGAATTTTTCTCTTCTGTTTTATTTTAAAAGATTTATTCTTTTACTTATCTGTATCTCTGTGACTCTAGGCACTGGTGGTTGGTCACATTCCCCCAGTGAGGACCCCTTGACAAAATCCACCAGCTGTGGCTAATTCACCTTCTTTCTCTTCCCAGGACGGAACCATGAAGCGTGGGCTGAGGGTCTGAAGCAGGGCGACTTTGAGTTGTTGTGCCTTGATGGTACCAGGAAGCCTGTGGCCGAGGTTCAGAACTGCCACCTGGCTGTAGTGCCAAATCGTGCTGTGGTCTCGAGGAAAGACAAGGCAGATTTTGTTCGCAGAATACTCTTCAACCAACAGGTATGGGCACCCACGGCCTCCTTTCCCCACTCCTCCTCCCTCCCTCACGACTCAGTGCTCGGTTCACCCGTGGAGCTGCACAGACATACCTCAGCGCAGTCACATGTTCTCCCTGGGCAGTGGAACCTGATTCTCCCATCCCTGCTTCTGATTAAAGCAGAAAGCTGGTGGCTGTGTTCACTTCTTACTCTGGGGCTGTCTAGGATGTCACAGTGGACTGGGAAAACCTCAGACATGTGGGCATCCTAAGTGTTTTCCTGAGACCCACTCGACTCTGAGCAGATTCATGACACCTCTTGGGCTTGTGCAATTACTTCATGAGAGTTAATCCTTTCTCTCTTCCTCAGGCACAGAAGTAAGGGAGTTCAATCAGTGCTCTCCACACTAGGCAGAGCTGTATGTGGGAAAAGCAGAATAGAGATTATTCTAACTGACCTATGGATGGATCAAAATGTGTTTCCTCAACCTGGGCAGGCTGGGCACTGTCTTAGGCTTCGTGAAAGTTAAAAAGTCAACATTCAGACAACTTATGACCTCTACAGGCAGCCAGCACGGGCTGATCTTACAGAGTAGCAGGCTTCCTAGATCAAACAATCTTTAGAAAAACCCAAAGTTTTCTCTGCCTTTCGCACTAGCACACCCCATTCCTGGAGGTTCCCCAGTGAGAAATCCAAGTCTTAGCATATGCCACCCACACATCTCAGTTAAAGGACAGTGACCCAGGGAGTGCTGGTAAAATAAGAGGCTCTCAGTTGTGGACTTTTGAAGGGGCAAGTCCCACACAAGGGAAGCTGCCACCTTGGCCACAAGGGAAGTGACAAAGGAAGAGAGAGGAGAAGAAGGAAGAGATGGGAATGGCAGGGCGCCTGGGGCAGATCCAGAGAATAGAAGAGGCAAGACAGTGAGGGCTCCAGGCCACAGGAAGACATGCAAGTATGGCCCGGAAGGTTGAAAACCTCTGGCAGCGGTTGGTGAAATAGTAGTACAGTGGCAAACCTGGAACTGTTTCTATTTACCAGTTGCTTTACATACTTCCTCTCACTACTTGGTGCTATTATCCCCATTTACAAATGTGTAAACTGAGGTTCACTGAGCTCAGAAGAGAATTTTCCTGGAGTCACACAACAAGGAAAAGACAGGGCCAGGATTTAAACCCAGAGACCATGCTTTTTGCCACCTTACCTCAGTGTCTCCTGAACTGTTGCTGTGTCCCAGGTTTCCCAGGGGCTGGAACTGAGCAATTCAACAGACTCAGGTCTTCCCTGGAAGAATACACAAGCCTGGGCTTCCTGGAGCTCAGGGTCACTCACTGTCTGTATGTCTGACACAGGAGCTGTTTGGAAGAAACGGATTTGAATGTGCAATGTTCCAGCTGTTTGAATCCTCAAACAAGGACCTGCTGTTCAGTGATGACACGGAATGTTTGGCCAATCTTCAAGACAAAACAACTTATGAAAAATACCTAGGGCCGGGGTATCTCATAGCTATTGCTAACTTTAGACCATGCTTAACCTCTGGTAAGTAGAATGAAACACCAAGGAGAAACAACATGGGGGGCAAGGCAAACAAGTTTGTAGCAAGGACTATGTGTGCCAAACCCTGGGCCAGTGCTGATGGCAACACAAAGAAGTGGAGGCTTCGCTCCTTGCCTGGAAGGAGGATTCAGACTCACCGATGGGGTGGCTCAATTAGATCACAGTATAAGACACTATCAGAAAAAAGGCCAAATCATTTGAAGGAGATGGGGAGTGCAATAGAACTTGATACTATTCAGAAATTGAACTTGTTTTCATGTGTATTTCCATTTTTGCTAATAAAGTGAAAATGTACACATTTTCACTTCAATGTAGGAAGAGAGCTGGGGAAATGACACGTATATGCCACCCACAGGTGACCAATTTTCAATGATTTTAAGTGAAATGTATAAATAATATTAATGGAAACAAAACGTAGTTAGCACTATAGTAGGCCCTTTCTAGCTATTTATATCTTAGGATGGCATAGCTGCCTCAAAAAGAAATAAGTTGAGGAAATAAAATTACAGGTGGGATAATCAAATTGTCGGGAGTGTGCCTGAATTTTTATCGAATTATATCATGTGTTGGAGATGATGAGAGCAGCAGGAGAGGAAAATGCAGGTATTTAAGGGAAGCACTTATATCAGTTAGGAAAGAGAACGTGTGTGTGTGTGCATGTGTGTGTAAAAAAATCTTTATCCACTACCACTTAACTTGTAGAAAATAGGAACAGAACTGTGTGTAGTAAGCACTGGCAGTGCCTAAAGGTCTTTCTCTTATGTTGTGCTTCACAGATCTTCTGGATGCCTGCACATTCCACAGAAATTAACCGATCAAAGTGGGCAACCACACAGATGCTGGGAGCCTCAAGTAGGGCGGGTCCACATTCTGACTTGTCTTCGTGTGGATCTGCTTACCATGAATTATCTTTGCAATTCTACGCTGTAACTCATGGAGAAATCAAAATGAATAAAATTTATTGTGTCTTCTCAGAAAACCTCATTAAATGATCTCAGAGTTTTTGGAAAAATACTATTTTTTATACTAGAATTGTACTTCTGAATTGAATATCTATGAAATTGTACCTTTTTTGAGAACTCTACAAGATGAGCTCAATTTCCCTCCCTAAACTTTATTTTACCCAAGAGTCAAGTCATTTAAATATAATTTAAGCATTTAAGTCATTTAAATATAATTTAATCTGTCTGGAGAAAGTCTGAGTGGTAATTACAAGGGTGAAAAAAGCATCAGTGTGTGCAGTACCAAGGATTTACACAATAAAAAGAAAGGATAAGGAATAGTTTTATATATTTTAAAAATATACTTCAACACTTAAAAAATTAATAATGTCAAGTGGAATCAAACTCTCAGTTCAGATTAATTGTAAAATATTAAAATTACTGCAAAAATCCAATTCTACTACTCTTTTACAGTCAACTTCTGAAAGTGTGATATACACTCATTTCTTTGTTAAATCAGTTTCTTATCAGAGATTTTGCAGTATCTATTACTACCATAGTTGCAACCTGTGGTAGTGCCTCAATAAACGTTGAGTGGGAAACTAGGTTACATATTGTTAAAAGTCATATTTATGAGTGTGGACTTCCGCTTCTGCCCCTGAAAGAATAACCCATACAGGACTGACTCTCTTTCCATAAACAAATAAAAACCTGGATGAAATATATGAAACAACTGTTTCCAAACATTGGACAATAGTAGTGCAGGACAAGGATCCCTGAAATAAGGTAAGCAAAAGAGGTGAGCAGATGAAGACCCTACTTACTGCCTACAGGAAATTTCCAGATCCTGGTACAGGGTACCCAGGAGAGCCCACAACATTGAGTTGAGGAAACAGAGATAGAAACTTGGGGAGCCCAAATGGCCAGAATCTGTGGGGTTGAGTATCAGAAGGGATGAAACTTTGCAGAGAAAACCCTCCAGAGATCTGTATAGGAGTGTCCTTGGGTCTTTGGCCGAATGCTAATCTGCATGGTGTGTTAATACAATGAAATTGAAATCCTTGAGGCTGGGCAAAGAATAACTGTGAGAGACCTATGAGCTGAACAATTCCCAGAGCTCACATGGGCCCCCGAATTGTTCAAGTTTCTACCAACCAGAGGGAAGAAACCTCATTGAACACAAAGAATTTCACTGAAGATCATGCCTTGGACGTGGGCAAAATTGGTTATATAATAGATTAAAGGTTACTCCAGAACTGCCCTTATCAAAATTAAAACTAGCCTCAGAGGATCAAGCTGATCTGCAAGTAAATTAACGGCCTTCCAAAACAAACTTCAACATTCATGAAAGGAAGACAGCAAAATCTAAATACTCAACATTGTAACATACATAATGTCCAGCATCAAATGAAAAATTATCAGGTATGCAAAGAAGGAGTAGAATATGACCCAGAGTCAGGAGCAAAACCAATCAATAGAAACACACCTAGAAATCACAGAGATGATGGTATTCAGGACAATAAACTTTAAACAGTTGTTTATAAACATGTCCAAGGATTTAAAGGAAAACATGAACATAACAAAGAACAAGATATAAGGTTTAAAAAAGAACCAGTAAAAATCTAGAGCTGCAAAATTTGTGTTTTTCAAAGAATTTCTCTATTTCATCTAAGTTACTGATTTTTGCCATAAAGTTGTTCAAAATATTTTCTTGTTATTCTTTTAGTATTTACAGGATGTGTTGTGAAGTGACTTCGTCCATTCCTGATACTGGCAATTTGTGTTTTCTCTTTTTTCTTGATCAGCTTATTTATAGTTTTATCAATTTTATTGAACTTTTCAAACAACACACTTTTGGTTTCATAAATTTTCACCACTGTTTATCTATTTTCTATTTTATTTTTTTCTTTTTTATCCTTATTTCCTTCTGTCTTCTTACTTTTCATTTAATCTGCTTTTTTTCTTAGAGTCTTTAGATGCAAGCTTAGATCAATTGATTATTTAGAACACTCTTTCCTATTATAAACATTTAAAATTATAAATTTCTAAGCACTGCTTTAGCTGCATCCCACAAATTTTAATGAATTTTTTTAGACATTTATTTTTTAATTGACACATTGTATTAATAATTGTACACATTCATGGGGTACGATTTGATGTTTTGATACATAATTATGTTGTATAATGATCCAATCAAGATAGTTAGTGTACCCATCACCTCATGCATTTACCATTTCTTTGTGGTGAGAAGTTTTAAAAGCCTCTCATCTAGCTATTTTGTAATATACAATATTGTACCATTAACCATCATCACTCTACAGTAAAGCACCAGAATTTATTCCTCCCATCTAATTGTATTAATAACTTTGTACTTGTTGACAAACCTCTCCCCCTCCTTCCTTTCCCACTCCCCTCCTTAGTCCTTGGTAGCCACTTTCTACTCTCTGCTTCTATGATATCAACTTTTTTTTTTTAAGATTTCACATATAAGTGAGATCATGTGGAATTTTTCTTTCTGTGTCTGACTTATTTCACATAACATGATGTCCTGCAATTTCATCCATGTTGTCACAAATGACAGGACATCACTAGTTTTTATGGCTGAATAGTATTCCATTGTGTATATATACCACATTTTAAAAATCCATTCATCTGTTGTTGGACACTTAGGTGGATTCCATATCTTGGCTATTGTGAATAGTGCTGCAGTAAACCTGGGAGTGCAGATATCTCTTCAACATACTGATTTCATTTCCTTTGGATATATACCCAATAGTGGGATTGCTGAGTCACATTGTCATTCTATTTGTAATTTTTTGAGGAATTGCCATACTGTTTTTCATAATGGCTGTACTGGTTTACAATCCCACTAATAGTGTGTAAATGTTCCCTTTTCTCTATATTGTAGCCAATACTTATTTTCTTTTGTCTTTTTGATAATAGCTATTCTAACTAGGGTGAAGTGGTATCTCATTGTGGTTTTGATTAGCATTTCCCAGATGATAGTGATGTTGAGCAGCATTTTTTCATATACCTGCTCACAATTTGTATATCTTCTTTTGGGAAATGTCTATTAAGATTGTTTGCCCATTTTTTAATGGGTTGTTTAGTTTTCTGCTGTTGAGTTGTTTAAGTTCCTTATGTAGTCTGGATATTAACACCTGGTCAGATGTATAGTTTACAAATATTTCCTTCCAATCTGTAGGTTGTCACTTCATTCTGTTAATAGTTTTCTTTGCTGTACAAAAGCTTTTTAGTTTGAGGTGATCCCATTTGTTTATTTTTGCTTTTGTTGTCTATGCATTTGAGGTCTTATTTAAAAAATTCTTGCCCAGCCCAATGTTCTGAAGGTTTCCCCTACATTTTCTTCTAGTAGTTTCATAGTTTCAGGTATTACATTTAAGACTTTAATCCATTTTGAGTGGATTTTTGTATACGGTGAGAGGTAGGGGTCTAGTCTTCTGCATGTGAATATCCAATTTTCCTAGCACCATTAATTGAAGAGACTGTCTTTTCTCCAATGTGCGTTTTTGACACCTTTGTTAAAAATCAGTTGCTTTTAGGTGCATGAATTTGTTTCTGGGCTCTCTATTCTGTTTCATTGGTTTATGTGTCTGTTTTTATGCCAGTGCTATGCTGATTTGATTACTATAGCTTTGCAGTATATTTTGAAGTCAGATAGTATGATACCTCCAGCTTTGTTCTTTGTGCTCAGGATTGTTTTGGCTATTTGGGGTCTTTTGTGGGTCCATATAAATTTCATGATTGTTTTCTCTATTTCTGTGAGGAATGTCACTGGTACTGTGATAGGGATTGTATTAAATCTGTAGATCACTTTGGGTAGTATAGTCATTTTTACAATATTAATTCTTCTAGTCCATAAACATGGGATATCTTCCCATTTATATGTGTCCTCTTTAATTTCTTTCATCAAAGATTTATAGTTTTCGGTGTACAGATCTTTCACTTCCTTGGTTAAGTTTATTCCTAGATATCTTTTTTTTGTAGGTATTGTAAATGGAATTGTTTTCCTGATTTCTTTTTTAGATAGTTCACCATTAGCATTTAGAAATGCTACTGATTTTTGTATGTTGATATTGTATCCTGTAACTTTACTAAATTTGTTTATTACTTCTAACAGTTTTTTGGTGGAGTCTCCAGGATTTTCTACATATATGATTATGTCATCTTCAAAGAAGGATAATTTGACTCCCTCTTTCCAGTTTGGATGTTTTTTATATTTTTCTCTTGCCTAATTGCTTTTGCTAAGACTTCCAATATCATGTTTTTGTTTTTGTTTTTTTTTGAGGCAGAGTCTTACTGTGTTGCCCGGGCTAGAGTGCCGTGGCATCATCCTAGCTCACAGCAACCTCAAACTCCTGGGCTCAAGCGATCCTCCTGCCTCAGCCTTCTGAGTAGCTGGGACTACAGGCATGCGCCACCATGCCCGGCTAACTTTTTTCTACATATTTTTAGTTGTCCAATTAATTTCTTTCTATTTTTGGTAGAGACGGGGTCTCGCTCTTGCTCAGGCTGGTTTCGAACTCCTGAGCTCAAACAATCCGCCCGCCTCGGCCTCCCAGAGTGCTAGGATTACAGGCGTGAGCCACCACACCCGGCCAGGATGTTGAATTTTATCACATGCTTTTTCTGTGTCTATTGAAATGATCACATGATTTTGTCTTTCTTTCTGTTAACGTAGTGTATCACATTTATTGATTTGTACATGTTAAACCATCCTTGCATCTCTGGGATGAATCCCACTGGATCACAGCAAATAATCTTTTTAATGTGCTAATATAGTTTGCTAGTATCTTGTTGAGAATTTTTGCATCACGTTCATCAGAGATATTGGCCTGTAGTTTTATTTTATTGTGTCCCTGTCCAGTTTTGGAATCAAGGCAATGCTAGCCTTGTAAAATGAGTTTAGAAGTATTCCCTCCTGAGACATTGAAAACTAAGAAGAGGGGAGAGTGGGAGGAAGGTAAGGGATAAAAATCTACCTATTGGGTACCATGTACACTATTCTGGTGTCAGGTACAC